TATCCCCAGAGCCAAACTCAATCTGTGTAAACACTCTATGCAAATAAAGGAACCTAGTCTATGGAACTCACTCCCTAATGAACTGAAAAGTTGTCCTACTTTTGCCTTATTCAAAAATATAACCAAAAAGTACCTAATTTCATCTTCATAGTCGCCTACCTAGAGGTTTATCTTCACACTGTTTCTAGTGCTACCCAATCCCCCAATTGAATTAGATACAATTCTTTGTATCTAAGCCATATTTTTCACCATTGTAATCTTAGACCATCTGTTATCATGGTTGTTGTATTGAGTACATATTCTACTGCATTACTCCTTGTAATGGTCGCCATATTGTGCTTCAGTGATCCAATGTATAACCCTGAAATGTTTTCCTAATTGTACCTAGGATTCCTTGTTCATTATTGTGTATTGTGTATTATTCTAATCTGCTTTTGTGTCAAAAATTCTTGCAATGTACCTGTAAATTTTTTTTTTTTACAATTTTACTGTAATTATCCTACTCAAAATTATCTGTACTTGTAAAGTAAAGCTGTAAAATACCTGTTAAACACTTTTTATCAATTTTACTCTTATTTCTCTAAAACTTTCTGTTAGTTTAAGGATTTCCTATAAGGTTAGTTTAAGGATTTCCTATAAGGTTAGAGTAAGGATTTCCTATAAGGTTGGTTTAAGGATTTCCTATAAGGTTAGTTTAAGGACTTGCTGGAAACACTATGCGTGCTAGTGGGTTTACAAGACTGTAATTTCAAATTAAACTCTGTTGTCTCTTAACCCCTCCAATGTACCTTCTTGTATATATATAAATAAATAAGTATAAGAAAAAGTGCCCGAACAACCGTGGACATCTTCAAGAGAAAACTAGATTGTTTCCTCCAAGGAGTGCCGGACCAACCAGGCTGTGGTGGGGTATACAAATATTTATTCAGGTAAAGTACATACATACAAGGTGAGATATAAAACATTGATGGATTTATAGATAGAGCTAGTACATACAATGTCTAAAGCCACTATTACGCAAAGCGTTTCGGGCAGGAAAAACACTAAGACTAAAACTTAATACTAATTGAGATTAAAGAATAAAATGTGTTAAGAAAATATAAAAATAAAAAAGGGGGCAACATGGCAGAAAAACAGCAAATATACAGTTTGGTCGACAAACAGCGTTGTTTATAAATAACAGAGATTGGTTGACATTATAGGGGTAAGGTAGGTTACAGGGAATTTATTAGGTATAGCTTCGTTTTTAACTTAAACTGGTTGAGAGAGGTACAGTCTTTAACATGGTTGGGAAGGTCATTCCACATTCTGGGTCCCTTGATTTGTAGTGCATTTCTAGTTTATTTATTTATTTATTTATTTATTTATTTATGCATATACAAGAATGTACATAAGGAATGTGAGGATACAAATATGGTAATTACAGTCTTGTAAAGCCACTAGCACGCGCAGCGTTTCGGGCAGGTCCTTAGTCTAAGAAAATTTTAAGGAGGTAAATACTTGCAAAATTTATAGACAAAAAAATGTTAACAGATTACATGGAATGAAAAAAAAGATGAGAGAAAATTATAGGTACAGTATATTAAAGCACATAGGTAGCTATGATTGATTGCAATGACAGCTTAAAATGGTAGTTGACAACAAATTGGTAGGCACAATACAGCAGAAATTAAGTCGTACTGCCAAACTGCCAAAATGGGTTGGTGAGATGGGTGAATGGGTTAACTTTTAAAGAACAGCTGAAAAGGATAATCAAGGCAAATGTGGGGGATCTTCGACAAGCCGCTGGCTTACTGTCCTCATCGAGGCCACTAGTGTTAGTGGCCCTCAGGTAAACTCAGGTATTTATTATTCCCAATAACAGCAAACACAGATTAACTTGTGATTTATCCTACACTCCTACAGTGTATATAATGCATGAGATATTCTATATGATGTTAGATGTCTCTTTGTCTCTCTTATTGATGATGAAATGTTTTCTAATGTTTTATTCACATTCTCCCTATTTTTCTGTACACAAAAAAAAGCTTGCTACTGAACTGTCCTAACCCAAGCCTAGCCATGCAAGCAAGCTTGAACACCTAGGCTGCTTGTATGGTAGAAAACAAAATATGCATGTGCTTCAGTCTGCCATAGTATTAAAGCTGTAATACGCTGTGAGTATTGTAATGCCAGAAAGTACAATGTATTTATAATTTTTTTTGTTTGCAATGTTTATAACTGGTTTGTATGTCATATGTTGTATCATCATCATGAAGGCAACACAAGTTTTTTTTTAGTTTAGTTCATTTATTATGCACCCCATACCCATCTTGTCGGCGGTAGTGGAAAGGGTTACAGAGGCACATAATGGGCTCAGGGACTGAACCCCACAATTCATTTAGCTAAGCAAGTTACAATCTTGATGAGCTAGTTACAACATTCAATATAAGTCGTCACATCAACAATGGGTTCGACACAAGACTGTGTTTTTTTTTTGTTTTTTTTTTTTACCCTCTTAGGTAGACTTGATCAATGTGAGCAATGTATGTATTCTGATACATACTGTAGATACCCTCTTAGGTACACTTGATCAATGTGAGCAATGTATGTATTCTGATACATACTGTAGATACCCTCTTAGGTACACTTGATCAATGTGAGCAATGTATGTATTCTGATACATACTGTAGACACCCTCTTAGGTACACTTGATCAATGTGAGCAATGTATGTATTCTGATACATACTGTAGATATATACTGAACAATTACCGGGATTCATTTCTCCTTGTTGACCTCAACTCCAGAAGGCGGTGCAAGGTGAGTGCCATCACAGCTCTATTTGATCACAATCAGGCTGACATTTCTAGCATAGTTTGAGTGACCAGTGATAAGTGACTAAAAAAAAAAAAGCTAATTCTGTTATCTGGGTGAGTGATTATCTTCACACAAAAGGATGTCTGTAGTTTGTAAATTATTTCAGGCGTTTCTAAATTATTTAAATGATTTCTTCAAGCGTCAGGCTGCGAGCAGCCGCGTCCAACAGCCTGGTTGACCAGACCATCAACAGGAGGCCTAGCATAATTCTGTGGCGCGGGTTCGATTTCCGCACTAGGCAGAAACAAATGGGCAAAATTTCTTTCACCCTGAATGCCCCTGTTACCTTGCAGTAAATAGGTACCTGGGAGTTAGTCAGCTGTCATGGGCTGCTTCCTGGGGTGTGTGTGGGAGGTGTGTGTGTGTGTGTGTGTAGTGTGAAAAAAAAGTAGTTAGTAAACAGTTGATTGACAGTTGAGAGGCGGGCCGAAAGAGCAAAGCTCAACCCCCACAAACACAACTAGGTGGTCAGAGACCGGGCCGTGGGAACTTGACCCCCGGAATCACCGCAAGGTTTGGTGTAAACATGAGACTAGACAGAAGATGACAATGCGTGGGAGTGAGGATGGACTTCTATGATACGTTTCAAACATTACACTTATGTGTTCCCAAGGGGAAACTTTATGTAGGTTCCTTAACAACTACCCATTCACCCGGACTACAGTATGATACAGGCACCATTAACTTGAGCGATGAGGCTATCAATATGGTGCCCCTAGATACACCGCCTACCACAGGTTACTGATTCTCAAAACACATTAAAGGTGAAATCACACACATACGAAGTAATAATGGCCAATCCAGTAGAAGTTGACATAATAGATCTGGAGATTTGCAATCAGGATGATAAGTTGATAATCATAAATGTATACTGTCCACTGCCATACAACACATGGATGGAGGAGGAAGGTGGAGGGAATTATCAGTGAGAGCGCCAAGCCAATAGACTATACAGCACTCAGAACGGATCAGGATAAGGATTTGGGATGGGAGCGGAGGGGGGGGGGGGGAAGGAATGGTGCCCAAGCACTTGTGGACAGTTGGGGATTGAACGCTGACCTGCAGGAAGCTAGACCGTCGCGCTACCCTCCACCCCAAATGGTTGGGCAGGAGCTAGATAATAAATGAGAGAGAGCCTCTTAACAATCATGAGAGAGATTATAGCAAGAGTAGATAAAGATAGATTATGACTGCTGGTAGTTGGTGAAATTATATCCATAAACTGGAAAGCCAATTAAGCTAGAAAGGAGGACTTTTTGACCTGTAGCTTCATAAACTTGCTATCATTGCATACAAGGAAATAACAGGAATTTACCAAATTTTCAAAGTATAATTTTTTAAAACGGCAACTTCAAGAACAAGAGGACATGTGTCAAACTAAGGAAGCAATCCTGGCAAAGAAAAACATTAGAAAAGTTGCTTTTGCAGACTGATAGACAGAACAAGCTAAGCGAGAAGGTGGTGGAGGGGAAAACCATCAGTAGTTTCGAAGCGTTATACGACAAAGAGCACTGGGAAGACGGGACACCACGAGCATAGCTCTCATCCTGTATCTACACTTAGGTAATTACACTTATTTAATTACACTTAAGTAATTACACACTCTTACTCTCTCTCATGATTGTGTTCTGACAAACAGTAATTAAATGTGTCCCAGTTTTCATGTGGGCATATTGTGCCTTTTATGACAACTTATAATACTCTAATTGCTTGTCACCATAACAGTGTAAGGCTGAGCACAGCTGCCTGTCATTTGAGCACCGAAATTACAAGGTTTAAATTTACATTAATCATAGTTTTTAAAGATACTGTATTTCAAGTGAATTATGAACAGTAATAGGTGAGAATAGGCAGGATCCCCAGTACGGAAGAACAGACCGAAGGAATCAGCAGTTCGGAACATGGCATCGCCCTAGCCTCAACCGGTTCCCTCAGGTAAGCAAACTCTCAATCTCATACTGCATGTAATTAATGCTTTCACTGCTTACTGCCCTTCGACGTATCGTAAAACTTAGAAGTACTGTACTGTAATTCATTCCATTCAATCTTGCATGAAATTTTGCATGCCTATACATTGCTTACATGTAAATACTAGTGATTTTGGAGGTGGTGGTGCATTGTGTAACACAGACTTATCATGCAGGTGAGCACACTGCCGGAGTATACCAGTAAGAGGTTCGGGGGCCGCAGGATCCGCACCTACCTGGCCATCCTCTCCCTCATCCTCTACGTCTTCACCAAGATCTCGGTAAGCACTTCAGTCTCGGTAAGCACTCCGATCTCTGGTAAGCACTTCAATCTCGGTAAGCACTCCGATCTCTGGTAAGCACTTCAATCTCAGTAAGCACTTCGATCTGGGTAAGCACTTCGATCTCCATAAGCACTTCAATCTCGGCAAGCACTTCGATCTCAGTAAGCACTTCAATCTCCGTAAGCATTTCGATCTAGATAAGCACTTCGATCTTGGTAAGCACTTTGATCTCGGTAAGTACTTTGATCTTAGTAAGCACTTCGATCTCGTTAAGCACTTCGATCTCAGTAAGCAATTAGATCTCGGTAAGCACTTCGATCTCGGTAAGCACTTTGATCTCGGTAAACACTTTGATCTCGGTAAGCACTTCGATCTCAGGGTTCCTTGGGCTTTTATAAATAAAATATGTTGGAGTCCCGGAAGTACAGCCGGGGTTTGTTCTCGACGCACAATCGAGAATTCCGGGTTTGAATCTCGGGTGGGACAGAAATGGTTGGGCACATTTCCTTTCACCTAATGGCCCTCTTAATCCATGAAAGCCCCCTGAATCTGCTGATGTAGAAGGCTGAGAGTTTGTAAATTTCTAACTTTATGATTACTTTATATTATGGCTAGTTAGTATTAGTTCTACTTCTATACGAGTTTTTCGGAATACGAGCAGGATTTGCTCAGAAAATTTACATTGGAATACAAGCGTTGCCTCGGAAGACGAGGGTGTTGATACGCGTACAGGCCGACCTAGCGCGTGGTGACACGGCGATCGCGCCTCAGTTTACCAGTGCTTCACGCCCAGTGACTATCCCGCCTGAATTCTTCATCAGGATTTACAATGTTTTGTTAGATTTTTGGCCATTTGACCATAAAAGTAGTTGTTATATATCTCGCCATGGGTCCCAAGAAAGCCAGTGGTAAGGTTCAACCTAAGAAAATAGTTGTGAGTAGAGGCAGTAGAGGATGTCCCTTCTTCATTAAGTAAATGTGTGAAGTATGGGAAGAACTGCAGCATTTTGTTAAAAAAACTGACCCCAGATAAAGCTGTAGCAGGCCGTTGCAATGACATTTTAAATGACAATAAATAAAATAAATATAAAATAAATGTTTATTTAGGTAAGGTACATACATACAAGAGGATTTTACAAAAATTGATAGATTTATAGATAGAGCTAGTACATACAATGCCTAAAGCCACTATTACGCAAAGCGTTTCGGGCAATGTGATGTCTTACTACAGATAAGTGTTAAAATGTAGGGAAAACAAGTGTCTTTAGACAGATTCTTAGTAAGACAAGCAAGCAGTGAGCCACAAGCAGGTCCTAGTGGTATGCAGGCAAAATGTGTCAAGAGTGTGCACACCAGTGAAGTCCTCACTGCCTGATGTTATTATGGAAGGACACTCCCCTTCCAAACAGTAACACCTCTCCTCCTCCCTCCTCCTCACCATCTTCCATACGCCAACAGCAGTCATCAGCAAGGGTAAGTAATAACTTGAAGATACTTTTGTAGTGTAGATTTAGATGAATCAGGTATAAAATTTAGTTTGAAGGGAGGTTTTGGGTAGTCAGGAATGGATTAATTCATTTCCCATTATTTCTTATGGGGAAATTAGCTTCGGTTTACGAGTTTTTGAATTACGAGCCGTCTCCAGGAATGGATTAAACTCTTAAACTGAGGTACCCCCTGAACTTTGTTCCAGGTGTGATGGGAAAGTTTAGGAGTGTAGATGTTTGGCAGTCCTCCTAATGGCTGGTGTCAATGCCTAGTCACACTTACAAAAAAAAAGATAGACTGCTTGGCTGTTTGTCTGTGGTTTGTTTGTAAGGGAAGACACGCAAAACACATAGTATGAACAATGAAACTTCAATTAATATAGAAAACAAATTATAAACAAAGACAATCTCTTGGCTTTGTACAGTGCAAACAAACAAGTCAAAAACATATAACATAAATGAAGAATAGGGATGACGTTACTCTACAATAATATAAAGACAAAGTGATTAAACAGGTGCTGAGAATATAGCGCTAGCTGAGAAACATCCACCTGATAGACAGCATATCTCGGTTAGTTGTTCACGGCTTGAGAGCACAAGGATATTCTTACTTCAATGGCTGGTTCAAGCCCAGACATCGACTTGTAGAGGGTGCTGAGGTGCAGAGGTGCAGGTGTGCAGTTGGCGAGTCACCAATCAGAAGCAGGCAAGCTGGGAATGGTAGTTTGCTGGTTGATGACGGAGCCGGCATGGAGGGAGTGGGGAGTAGGGGGGAGTCTTGGGTACGTTTGCCTCCTGGTCAAAACGTTTTGTGCAACTGGTAGACATATCTTGAAGGTAGCATCTTATTGTTGTATAATATACGTAACTTTATGTGGAGAAGAGCAGGCTCAATCTCTCTTGAAAGAGATTATCGTCACACAGGTCTGTCATCTTTTTGGAGCTGGATGCTTGGATGGTGTCCCTGGACTTCTGGGATGCCTATTGGCACATCCCGATTCATCCGGGGTTCAGGGACTGGCTCAGTTTTGTTGTAAGGCATCAGGCTTACTGCTTTTGTTGCATATCATTCGGCTTGAATCTTGCACCTTACCCGGGTCATGGTGGCCTGTCTACGTCTCTTAGAGGTTCGGGCTCTGGCCATTCTCGACGACTGGTATGGGCTCCCGTCCACTCCACGTCTCTGCTCGCCAGGGATTTGGTTCTTTCCCAGCTCGCTGGGTTTGGGTTCTTGGTGAACTGGAGGAAGTTCCATTTGGTTCCCTCTTAGCTTTGGACTTGGCTGGGTCTTGCGTGGGTCTCTTGGACTCCTTCCTTATCTTTCCTTCCGGAGGCTATGCTGCGGCTGTGGTCCTGCCTTCATCTGTATTTGGAGGGCTCCCGGATCACAAAGTGGTTACCTGAGGGTTTGTATGGGAGTCTGAACTTTGCTGTGTTGGTCTAACTGCCAGGCCGGGTTTGGCTTCGTCAGCTGTTCTGGTTCCTTTAGGGATGTCCCTTCCGCCTCTCTCACGATTGCTGGGTTCGGTCTCTGGGTGCCTTACGTCAGCTGCTGCGTCGCCGGCTTCCTCTTCAGGGTTCAGTGCCTTGGTGCCTACCCGAGACCTCGCTCGAATTATTCATAGATGTCGTCTCTTGGTTGGGGCTTTGACCGGGGCTCACCAGGCTGACCAGGGACGGTGGGGCCCATCCTTCTGTCAGGCCCACAGCATGGTGAGTGAGTTCGCGGCCGTGTAAATGTCGCTTCGGAGGGTTTGGGTCACTCGAGGTTTGATGATCTGGCTCCATTCTGAATGCTCCCCAGTGGTTCATTGCCTGTACCGCGTGGGTTCAATATGATCCCAGGCTCTTTGGGGGTCTGGTCCCTTCGGGTGACTTGTCTGCCGAGTTCTCAGGGTTTCTCTCTCTCTCCTGGCCATTTACGTTCTGGGGGGGAGGGGGTTCCAACATCCTGGCAGATGTCCTGTCCTGGTTCATTCCCCGTGTCCACAGATTGGACGGTCGACGCCAACTCGTTCAGTTGGCTCTGCAGGACGTACGGGCTCCCAGAGGTGGACCTCTTTGCATCGGCGTGGTTGAGGCGTCTCCTGAATTATTTGGCACACTTCCCCAACTGCGAGGCCGTCGGGGTCGATGCCTTCAGGCAGGACTGGTCGAGGTGGGGTTCCCTGTACAGTACTTCTTTTTCCTGGTTCTGCTTTTACTCCAGATCCTGGCTTGCTTGGAGACTTACCAAGGGAGAGTAGTCATGTTGGCGGCTCTTCCTCCTACAGCAGATTGGTCCAGTCTGCTATGTAGCTGGTTCGATGTTCTCCTCAAGTCTTCACTTCTGGTCTTTCTGATGGGGGTCTATCACCATTTGTATTATGAGCAGGTGGCTTCATTGATGGTGTCCCACCTGCATGCTTCGTCTCGGCAGCATGCTGGCGAGATGGCATGTTTGAAGTTTCTTGGTGGTCCTTTCGTTATTTCTTGTCCCCTTCGTTGGTTTTCTTTGGTTTTGGATGGGGTTGTCTTGTCTTTCCTTTCTTGGTTGTTTCAGGACAGCCAACGAATACTGTCACCTTGTATCGTGCGGCATTGGAGGAGACACTTCAGCTTGCGTTTGGGCTGGATGTTACGTTTGCTGTTCTACAAGCTGTCTTGTGTGTTGCTTCACCTCTAGCATCCTCATGCGTTGCCTGAGCCATTCTGGTCGTTTGACTGGATGCTCTCTTTTCCTCTTCTCCTCAGTTTGTGGTAGCCCCTTTGGTTCAAGATTGTTCACGAATGCTCTTTTCCTGTAGGCATTAGCTTCTGAGGGTCAGGTCAGGGTGCTGCATGCTCTCCTCTGGCGCAGTGGTTTCTGCTCTTTTGGTTCTGGCGGTAGGTTTGTTTGTTTGCGGATGTCTCCTTCTTTTCTCGACTTTGAGTTAAGGAGTGAGTAGCGACCGCATTCCAGGTAAGTCTCTTTTGTTTTATCTTTGGTTAAGTAGCTCCAGGAAGCTGAAGGGGCTTTCCCCACAGAAAACCAGCATTGAACGTAATGAAAGGACATTTTCTGGGTGAGACCCAGAGGCTCCCTGGCAACCCTCCCTTCTTCCGGTTGGTGATTTTCGCGGGTTTGACATCCAGCCTCTGAACTGGGGGTGAATAGCTGGCACGTGGGGATCTGGAGCTCCCCCTTTCCCCTCCCGGGGAGGGGGGAGCTGCTCAGACAGCGGTGCAGTGATTATTGTAACGTCATGCTCATTTTTAGTTTGGGGAGTTCTGTCCAATATTTTGGCTTTCAGTAGCAAAATTTTAACTAGATAGGGTTTGTTTTGGTGCTCCTACTTTTTTTGGCTGCCTGGCCTGGTCGATGGCAGACATAGAATGCTTCCAACCACACGGGGGTTTCTATAGGCAATTGCTTCTCGTGCCTCTCTGAGGGGGGCCAGGTTCTGTCTTGTGGTCCCCAGTAGGCCTAAAACTTCATTCGCTTGACTAATGCCTTGGTCTAATACATTCATATCAGCTTGGATAGCTCCG